CAACCTAGGACAAAATAAAATTAAAAGTTAAAATTAAATTAAAATACATTTATTAAACTAACTAAACTCTATGGGTGCAATCTAAGGTGCAGCCTATACTAGGTGAAAATATAATCACTAAGATTATGTTAAATATAAAATGTAAAATGTAAGTATCTAAAATTACCATTATGTTAATATATAAAAATTTAAATGAATTACTGTTACATAAAACACATTACACAAATTACCCCATCAGGGTCTGGCGAATCTCCATTGCTGCAGCACAAAACCCGGCTACCTACGCTGTGACAATAGGCTTTTCATCTATGAGCAGCGTTTGTGTATAGTCTGAATCTGGGCGACCGGGATATTTACTAATCAGAGATAAGATGAGTCTGGTTCGGAGATCTCTGTAGAAAACAGAGCGAAGAAGGACACAGTCTCTGGTTTCCACCTCTCCGGAGTCACAAGGACAAAGCCTTATGGCCAGTGGTATTTTTTTTTATTTGCCCTCCAGTACCGAAGAGGGGAGAGCATGGCATCAAGCTAAAGAAAAGGCTTTCCGGTGGCTGGGTGTTTCGAGCTGTGTAAGATAACTGGCAGCAGTGACGATATATGGTGGGGAATAGCCTAACTTTAAAAGTCAATGGCCTTAATCCATGTGGACTGAGTGTTATCCTGAAGAATGAGAGCTGCTAGGCCTTTGGGGTAAAAGTTGAGCTTTAGCCAAAGGTTTAGAGAGGCTAGATACACTCGACTCAACTTTTATCATGCTTGTTTCTAGGCGTAGATGTGCATTTGAAACACGTCAAGGCATCCGGAGTGCTACTCTGATGAATTTAGATTGCACTCTTTCCAGAGGTGTGAAACATGAGGATAGGGGGCCAACTAGAGTCTCATAGAGCAGCTGAGCTAATGATTTGGGCTGAAAGAGTTTGAGTGTGGCTGGAACGTAAGATCCTCCCTTACAACGAAAAAATTTTAAGATGGCAGTAGCAGATCTTTGTCAGAGGCTGCAGCATATTCACAGTGGGCTTTCCTCGAGCCGGAGGAAATGGATGACACCTAAATACTTGAAACTGGTCACCTGCCCAGTCTATGTCACGAATACTCCATGAACGAAGTTTTGCCCTATTGGCAAAAGCCATTATCTTAGTTTTCTGGTAGTTTATTTCCAGTTTATCATTATCACAGTGCTGGGGCAGAGTTTTCATAGTTCTTTTGAGGCCTATGGGTGTTCTAGAAAGAACTATAGAGTCATCTGCATAGAGTAACAAGGCAATGCTATTTGCTAGTTTAGGGAGAAAAGGCCTATCAGAAGCAAAAGATAAAGCAAAGAGGCTACAGGTCTGTTGCAAGGAGAAAGTGATGACTTGATAATAGGCGATGGTGAGAAGGCAGAACATTGTAACAAATATTTATATTTGTTTTTTCCTAAAAGAGATTCAGAGCCTAGCTGACCATTGTGCCACTAGTAGAGGGAAGGAGCTGTAGCTTAGGATATACAAGGGCAGGATAAAAGAGCACATAGCTAAGTTAAGTGAATTCCTATATACAGGACCAGATGAATTACATTCTAGAGTACTAAAGGAAGTAATAGAGGTGACTGTAAAACTGTGAACTGTAATCTTGAAAACATGTGGATAATTGGCAAGGTTGCAGAAGACTGGAAGAGAATAAACATCAGCAACTTCAAAAAAGGAAAAAGAAGAAATTATAAATCTGTCAGTTTGACATGGATACTAGCCAAGCTTTTCAAGTAGATTATTACTACTTGTGATCACTTGGATAGGAATGCAACAATTAACAAGAACCAGGATGGGCTTCTCACAACTAAATCATCCAAAGTAATCTTAATTCATTTTTAGAGTCAATAAAACCATAGTAGACCAGGTAAATGCCACCGCCATAGTATATTTTAGCAGCAAAGCAGTTGACAAAGTCTAATGATACCTTCATTAATATAATGGTAAAATATGAACTGGATGATACCACTTTTAGATGGATTCATAACTAGATGAATGATCATAACCCCACAGAGACCTGGGCCCTTTGCTGTTCAAAATTTGTATTAATTAATTAATTATCTGGATGAAGATGTTGAAGGAATCATTATGAAATAGACAGATTACACAAAACAAAATGGCTAACATTTTAGAAGAGAAAGAAAAGATTCAAAAAGATCTAGACAAGCTTCAGCATGGATCAAAATAGAATGAATTTGACAAGGAGAAATATAAAGATCTGTATCAGGGGAGGGGGGATGAAAGACACAAAATATAGGATGAGAGAGACCTAGCCTGGCAGTAGCATGTATGAAAAGTATCTGAGGGTTCTAGTAGATCACAGATTGAA